TTTTGAAGTTCCTGAAAAACTTGTGATTCACTAGTTTTGCTTCATATTTTTCAGTAGATGTTCTGCTAGGCAAAAAGATTTTTCTGTTCTTTAGTTTCCTTTCAATGTTGGCATGAACGCTATCACACTCCATTTGTGTGTGTCCTTTACCCAAAAACTTTTGTTCGATAGTCACATTCAGTTCTTCTGATAGACGTAAAAGGGCGTTTGACATAATATTATTCCGATTTTGATAGGTACACCCATCTGAATAAATGATGATAGGTTTACCATCATTAAGGATTCTTTTTGTGTAGTCAAAGATAAATGACACTAAACTGTAAAATTATGAACACATAACTTAGTTTTGAAATAAACACAACTGGCATTCAATGAAGGACAAACTTTTACTGCCTGCAGATCCATCGTAATCACATGATGTCTACCCAAAATCTCTTTGTCTTTTGCTTTTTCTTCTCTAGCTCTTTCCTTCTCTTCGCAATGCTTTTCCCATTCTTCAACTGATAAATTCTTCTCCTCGTATTGGCAGCAAATGTCACACTTGTCTTTTTTTTTGTTGATAGAGACTAATGTTCATTCTTTTCGTCATTTTTGTTAAGGAATTTTGACTCATTGCAACTTCATTATTTTGCAACTCTCTTTGTATACTGTATATAAGTCAACAATACTAAAAAACGACTGCTCCAAATATAATTTATTCGTGTCTTTTCGGCAACTTCATAAGGTTTTCTAAAAATGACTTCATAAATTTATTTTTTGGTGCTCGTTCTGATAAAATGCCTCCAACTCTTGGTCTTTTATTCTTTTCGTCATTGATTCCATGTTTACTTTGCTTGACCCAATTACAAACTTGTCATTCTCTTAACCCCAGTGTGGAAAGGAACATTTTTTTGCATGCAGGATAAATGCCATCGTCTATTTTTTTTTTGTTTTTCGAAAATTTTCTCCTTCTGATCTTCTTTGCTGAGGTGGTACTTTATTTACTAAATTACTTTTATGTGGGTCTCTGACCCCACGATAAATCTTGCCAAAACTTTTTGAAAACTTCTTCACGTTTTAAATCATTAATTTCATTGCATCTTCTCTTCTTGGATTTTCGGGAAAAGTTTGAAATACAAGGTATTCCAAGTTTTCTTTCTTCTCTTTCAACGTCTTGAAATGTTTTTGACTGATTAGGTGGCCTTCTGTATCCTAGGTACGCTTTTCCCTTCATCCTCAGATCTTGATTTATTTTTTTAGTATTCCTACCGAGTTCGCGTTTTCTTTTAGGGGGACCTTGATCTTGTAGATTGAAAGATTCCGATGTGAGTGATGTGGCTGATTCTGATTCTAGGTTCTCCTCTGTCCTGACACTGATATGAAAATCTCTGTCCTGACCTACATCGTCGTTTTCACTTTCTGCTTCAGGAACATTGATATTGGTAGCCACAGTCTCTTGCAAATTATATACAGCGTGCTCCACTTCATGATCTGCACAATTAGCAGGATCCATTGCCAAATCAGCAATTTGATTCTCTTTTTCATGTGAGTCATTGTCAGGACCAATGGTATTTTCTTTGGTCTATTTTCATCAATTTGGCACATCAGAAGCATTCTTTTCGATCTTGAAGTCATTATAGTTTATTGTCTTCCTTTACAAAATCGGCTAATCACTTGAACGGACATTCGTCGTGTTAAACTGCTGACTTACGAGCTATTGAATTGATTTTTAATGATTTTATTTTACGTGGTATTGTTTTCGCTCCATTTCCCCGGTAATGGATTTTTCAAAGCTTGCTACCGTTTAATAGATAACGCCTCTAATTCTAATGAATTGAAAAACGTTTAAATTTGAGAATAGCAATTTTCGAACTTACGAGGTATTGATTTGAGACCATCGCTCTGTTTTATTCGGGTTTACCGACAGAGAATTGTCTCGACACCAGCGTTCGATTATTCTCAGTCCTGCCTGCATTCGGTCACATAGGACGTTTTAGAACTTCCCATGAACCAAAACGGCTAGATCGTCTGCATAGGCGCAGACATTGAATTTTTCAGATGATAGTTGTCTTACAAGGCTGTCCAGAGTGAGATTCCATAGCAGGGGTGATAGAACTCCACCCTGCGGACATTCTCGTTCAACAATCGCTGTTATTTTGTTATCTTTCGGCCCTTTTTGAGAGCATATTTAGAATCCAGTCCGCTAGTGCAGGCTGGACTCCTTTGTCTCTAAGGGCTTTATTAATTGTATGGAAAGCTGTCTCAAAGGCTCCTTCAATATCTATAAATACTCCGAGAGTGGACTCTTTGTAGTCCAAAGATCTGTCGATAACTCCTAAGATATCTTGTAGGGCAGTTTCTGTTGATCTTCCCAAAGTGTATGCATGCTGGCTTGGGTGCAGGGGAAACCTTTCCAGTGTCGCTTCTCTGATATATCTTTCACATAGCCTTTCAAGCGCCTTCCCGACGAACGAGGAAAGACTGATTGGTCTATATGATTTTGGGCCAGTGTAATCTCTCCTTCCAGGTTTAGGGATGAAGACTACCTTTACTTCTCTCCAGGATAAGGGAACATAGTGGAATGCTAAGCAACCTTTGTATATTATTAGTAGGTGTGGTAGTAATGCTCGATTACTACCATACACTAACAATGGGATAGGAGGATTCACGAAGAGCAAACCCCATAAATAGAAATAAACTGTACAGCGCCGTATTACAATTAGAAATAACACGGCACCTTGTCAAGGCATAAGACGGACTGTCATAGGGACCAACCTGCATTCGATAAGATTATACAAAGTTCTGGAACAATTTTTAATAGCAATGTATGGGCAGTATAGAAAGAGGTGTCGTAAAGACGTTTATAAGTCTAAAAAGGGCCGGCTGAAATAGCTGGAACATATCTGGAGAATGAGCGAACACAAAATAGCCAGAAAAATAATAACACAAATGTCCCAGGGTCAGCAAAACTAAAAGGGGAAGGCCAAAACTACAGTATATGGACGATGTAGAAAGTAACTTAAGAACCATGTAAAAACGTTCTATATAAGGCTGCACCGCAAGTAGATGATGCTGATTGCTTCAGTTCTAGAAGGTCGTAGGGAGGGATAAAACTTGTCACATAGTTTTTCCATAAATAATACGTTATTGATCTTTGCTATTTTATCTCTAACAGGTTGGTTAGAAAATTAATATCGAAAAACCATAAGTTATGGTAATTGGAAATAAAATAGCGAGTATAAAATGTAAGGACGAGGAAGGGGTACTCACCAAGATGATTCTTTCGAGTGTTTAGAAGTAAAAATCTTTATATTGGGATATGTTGAAGAAGTAATTAATGGAAAGCTGAAGAATCTTATTAAGTTATTACTGTCTAAATACGAAAAAAGAAAATATCTTCGCAAACAAAATTGTGGTAATAATAACAACCAATGTATGAGTATCCTTTTAAAACAGTCCAACTCAACCGAAGACCTATCAAACATCTTATTTCTTCTTTGATGTTATGTACAGCTTAGTTTTCTACTGCTAATTCTGTCTCATCAGCAATTCTACTACAATCAGTAATTGCCTCTACTAATTCTGCTTCATGTCAGATTTTTATACAATTTAATCAGTACCAGAAATAAAGATAACAACGTATAAGCCTTTAGCTCTTCTGCATTTTTGGTAGTATCTTTTAATTTTTGACAAGATTCCAAATTCTGCTACAGCCGAAAGATCCAAGCTGCATAGATGGCTCTGCAAAAGTCGATGATCTATAAATTACACTTCCAAGACAACAACTTATTGGATGAAGAACTTATTGGAACAAATGTAAAGGATTTTTTCTTGTTAAAAGTAATTATTAAAGAATTAAAATAAGTGAAAGAAAAAATTCTTGATTTAAGAAGTAAAACATAAAATCTGTTGAGAAGTTGATGAAGCTCGTAATTTAACGTGTACCCACACAAAATACACGAGAAACCAAAAGGGACGAGTAAAAGTAACCGGGGGTGAATTCGTAAACCCCATTTGCATAAGAATGAGTGCTCGAGTTTACTGCGACGCGACGTTCTTCCCGTCACGTCATAAACGTTTTCTGATTATTCAAAGACACACGAGTTCACCCTTATTTATAATTTTTCGAAACCCCTTTCTCGTAACTCCCCCTCACCAGAACGTTTTTCAGCAAAACAAGCATTTTCAATTACGTAATGAGACATTGTTAAAATCGATTTTGTTTAATTATTTTTTCGTGACTCGATGTAATTAAAAGTTAATTAATGAATTGGATAATTTTTTCTTATAATTTAAAAAGATAACGTAAAGTTGAAGTCATAAAACAATTCCGCTGGAAGTATTTTAATCAAACTAAATTTACGTTTCTGAAAATTCCGGCTGCTAACTTATTTCCAAAGATATCGGGGAACTGTTGGCGTGCGAATTCCCGATGGAGATCTCAGGTCGATACCAGTTTCTAGTGCTAACAATTCCGGCAGTTTTACTTCTGGCTGTCGCACTAAAGTGTAATAAAATTCACGTTTTCCCCCCTTTCGGTTGGTCCACCCCCCCGGAAAACCGTCTCGCGTCGGTACCCCGGTCGTAATTTTAACCGTTCGGTGGCGGATAGCTCCTCGGTCGTGTAAAAAAAAGTAATTTTGCCGTGGGCCCCCGGTACACAATCTCACTCGCTCTCTCTGACCGCCCCCGCCCTTCGACGGCCCCGAAAAGCCCCGGTCGATTGCATTCGATGGTTTCGCGTTGAATTATGCATTTGACGGCTATATCGCAAAGTGTGAAACGCGTTTAGGAGCCGATATGGTGCCCTATTAAAAATGCAATCGAAAATTTCGCAATGACAGAGAGCGGAAAAGAGGAGGAGGAAATATCTGATGCCAAGCGAGAATTGGATTGTTGTCGAAAAATTCGTTAATTTGGAAGTTCTATTTATACTTTCAATGCATAACAAATAGGGGTTTTTTGGTTGTTTTGGCAATTTTTAAGTTGAATCGAAACAAATCATCTAAAAATACATGTTTTTAATTATTACATTCACTAATCTCAACACAAATTCCCCATTTATTTCTGGCATAACCCTCCACACATCGACAACCTTTAACAGGAACAAATGTCATAATAGGACAAGGTTCATCTAACGACCAACACGTTAGATCACAAGCTCCTCCTAACGTAGTATACTCTTCAGCTCCTCCACCACATTCGCATGGTGTATCTAAAAATTAATTTATTACAGAAATTATTTATTTTATTAATAAACTTACGTGAAATTGAAACTGAAATGATTGTTAATAAGACGAAAATTGCAATAAACTGCTTCATAGTGATTGGTTTTCAAGCCAGGTTTAGCAAAAGTGTTTAAGAAATTCTGAAAATGGTTGCTTTTATACTTAATTTTGGATGTAAAATACTTTTGTTTATGTAAATATGTTAATTAATGTTGTGAAAAAAAAAAAAATTATTTAATGCTTAGAAAAACGTTTTTTGAAAACGATAAACCACGTTTTTCCGATAAATCAAAGTGAAATAAAATATGCTTTTAAAATACCATAATTAATACTACTAAATTCTTTTGACGATTCTACTTATCGAACAGTTCATGATATTAATTTGAATCGGTGAGATGAAAAACAGTACAAGTCCAAAAATGTAGTTCTGAGTAAATCAATAAAACCTATAATAGTTTAAAACTATTTGAAATAGCATTTTTCCTTCCACAGGATAGTCATAGTTCTTTTAATTTCTGATTGTATCAAGTAGATATATTTCGAGAAAAGCGTCCATAAATTCAGTTATGCCCTAAAAAAAGTTGTGGACTTATACTGTTTTTCAACTCAAGCGACAAAAAAAGGGTTAATAAAATGATAAAAAGACTCAAAAAATAAAAAACACGACGTATTTATTACAAAATTTGTATTTATTTATTAAACAATAGAAAATCAGAACAGAAAGTCTAGTTATTCTCTTCAGCATACTTATACTTTCTATATATTTTCTTAATATCATCCACTTTCTTCTTGTTAATGGGAACAGGTTGGTTAAAACTATAACGCTTATCGGTGGGGAGGACAGGATTTTCCTTATTCTGTTTTAGGAGTTTAAAGGTGAATGATATAAAACCTCCTATATATTCCCATGTTGTGACATAACCAGGAGTGCTACTATCGTAAGAAAACTGCCTATAGTTGGAAATGGCGAATGTTTCTGTTTTGGCATTGTTTTCGCGAAGGAAAGTACAAGTTTCCTTATAGTTCGAAGACCACCAGTTTTTAAAGTCAATTATATCAGGAGATTTGATTTGCGTCACAGTGAATGGTGAATTTTTTCTTGCGGACTTGATCATGTCTTTATAGTCTTCAGGAGTCATTACCCTGTCATGTCGTCTAATAGTGCCAAAATCGCGGTCACAAGGCAAGAAGGAATGTCCTCGCATGGGAAAATAGTGGTAAACTTTATTGAAACGTTTAGTCGCCTGTAGTGCAAGCAGGAATCGGACCATTGTATGATTGCGGTTCTGACCCGGGCATCTGTCAGAAAACAAATGCTACTCCGTAATCTCAGCTGGAATATAGTTTGTTATATAATGATTCAGGAAAGTGCAAACCTCATCGGGCCCCTTGCGTGTCTGTCCTTCATGGTATGTGTAAAAATGTCCTGTATTATTTTTCATATTGTGTACTTCAAAGCCTGAACACGAAAATGTGAGATAGAATATAAGCTCATAAAAGCTTGTTTACATACAGGAACACGGCCACCCTCTTTCATGATAAAATACAAAAAGGTAGAACTTCTCTGCATTATAGGTTCATTGTGCCTACTTCGACGCCTCTGGACAGCTTTTGCTTCCATTAGCCCCTGAAGGAAGGTGTCCTGCTCATTCTTAGGTCTACCGTCGTACAATTTTGACATTATTGCTCTACGTTCTACATCAGTCAATTGATTCATACATCTACGTTTACACCTGTAACAATGTAATAAAGTGTGCATGACGTTTTCTTCTGCAAGTGGTCAAGATATTGATTTTCTCCTCATATCTTGCTAATTCGTTTGATGATTTGCTTCCCCTCATTATATTTCACATTTTCGCATATTATTTTGCTTTAATCACTTCTCCTCATGATAGTTTACTTCTGCGCATAATATTTTTTTTCTGGACTTGATATTTTAACAATAAAATATTGATTCAACGCTTCATGTTCAACCTGTGACTTGATACTTTACTTCTGCACATGACGCATTCTTTTGCAAATGATCATAACAATGTTTTTCTCCGAATATCTTGCTTATACTTCTATTAACTTGCTTCTCTCCATGATATTTTGCTTTTGCCAATGATATTCTACTTTCGCGCTCAAAATTTAACTTCCGTACGTTTTGTTTTTGCTCTTACTGTATTTGCATTTACTTGCCAAGTATGATTTTGTATCTTTGAAAGTACTTTACCCGTAAAATTGAGTTGGCTTTAGTTAGTTATTTATGCAACAGTTATTAGAATAACAATAAATGGTTTAGTTAGACGTCACCAAAGCGAATCATTTTTCTAGTACGCTCATTTCAGCTTATATTTGTAACATTGCAATATCATTTATTGAGATAAACCAAAAGGATCTTGATATGTAGAATTAGAATTCAAATCTTTCCTTCAAATTAAAATTGCCTTAGGAGAGGTAAAGTGAAACACACAAAGAGGAGGTATCATAAATGGTATGATATATCTTCGATCACACTATAAAAATCCAGCAAATAAATAATAAATCATCTAAAAATAATCATCTAAAAATACATCATTTATTTCCACATATAATCATTTCGTTTTTATTAAGAACTAGTACTGTTACATTCACTAATCTCAACACAAATTCCTCATTTATTTCTAGCATAACCCTCCAAACATCTACAACCATTAACAGGAAGAAGTGTCCAAATAGGACAAGGTTCACCCAAAGACCAACATGTTTGATCACAAGCTAATCCTAACGTATATTCTTCGAATCCTCCACCACATTCACATGGTGTTGTCTCTAAAAATTAATTTATTACAGAAATTATTTATTTTGTTAATAAACTTACGTGAAATTGAAGCTGAAATGATTGTTAATAAGACGAAAATTGCAATAAAGTGCTTCATTGTGATTGCCTTTCAAGCTGCGTTTAGCAAAAGTGTTTAAAAATTCTAGAAATGGTTGCTTTTATACTTCATTTTAGATGTAAAATATTTTTGTTTATGTAAATATGTTAATTTTGTGATAAAAATAAATTATTTAATGGGAAATGTTTAGCAAAGCGTTTTTTAAGAATGATAGACCACGTTTTTGCAATAAATTAAAGTAAAATAAAATATGTTTTAAAAATACCATAATTAATAATTTAACTCCTAATCAAGTCCACAATACTGATGAAGTGAGAAAAATGAAAACATAGGTATCTTGTCGGAAAAGTATCTAAAGATACAATAAAGAACAATTGTATATTGTATAGCTGAACAAAATTGAGAAGAAAACTTCATAAAGTAAAATATTGAAGTGTGGTATCTTCATTTACTTCCTAATACGTGTTAATTTGTTTCTGCACTACATTATTAATCTATAACACATGATATTGTCCTCTGCAAAAGATTATGGCAACAACTCTATTCCTAATATTGCAGTTTTTCATCGAAAAAAATATTTGTGGAATGATATTTGGCTTCTGCACATCTTATTTTCTTTCTGTCTTTGACTTTTTGCTACTTATCTTTCATGTTTTCTTCTGCAAATGATCATGATAACGTTTCTCCCCTAATATTTTGCTTTTGCCAATGATATTCTACTTTAGCACTTAAATTTAAGTTCCGTACGTTTTGTTTTTGCTCTTAATATCTTACTTTTGCTCATGATGTATTCTACATATTACAATTTTATCGTTTTTGCACCTGATATTTTGATTTTGTTAATGATAAAGTGCATCTACACATTACTTATTTATTCTTGAGCCTTATTTCTGCATATTATCTCCTGCACCTGTCCACTTTACTATTTTTACTCGAGATAGCTGCCCATACTTATTTTCCAGGCTATACTGCATTACTACTCATCTCATATAGAACTGCTTTGTTACATGACTAGCTTAAGTAAGTTTCTTTTTAACATATCATAATACCTTTAACTCTAAACTGGCAATAACAGCATTTTTGACCAATGTAATGCCACCACAATCGATTCGTTACATCAATTTGTAATGAAATATCACTTGTACTTTTCCATAGCTAAGGGAGGAAGCAAATAAATAATAAAGAGGGGGTCAATTTTAAAATTGAATCGATACAAATCATCTAAAAATACATCATTTATTTCCACATATAATCATTTCGTTTTTAATAAGAACTTGTACTGTTACATTCACTAATCTCAACACAAATTCCCCATTTATTTCTAGCATAACCCTCCAAACATCTACAACCTTTAACAGGAACAAGTGTCCAAATAGGACAAGGTTCGCCCAAAGACCAACATGTTTGATCACAAGCTCCTCCTAACGTAGTATATACCTCGAATCCTCCACCACATTCGCATGGTGTATCTAAAAATTAATTTATTACAGAAATTATTTATTTTGTTAATAAACTTACGTGAAATTGAAGCTGAAATGATTGTTAATAAGACGAAAATTGCAATAAACTGCTTCATAGCGATTGGCTTTTCAAGCTGGGTTTAGCAAAAGTGTTTAAAAAATTCTGGAAATGGTTGCTTTTATACTTCATTTTGGATGTAAAATATTTTTGTTTATGTAAATATGTTAATTTTGTGATAAAAACAAATAAAAATAAATAATTTAATGGGAAATGTCTAGAAAAATGATTTTTAAAAATGATAAACCACGTTTTTGTGATAAAGCAAAGTAACATGAAATACATAAAATATGTTTCAAAAATGGCATAATTAATAAATTTTTCTAACGATTCTACAACGCTGAGGAAAGTGTAGATTGTTCTGGAAAGATTTACCAAGTGTCTAAAAATAGGCCAGAACAATGAAGTAGATGAGTAGGACTTAGAAACCGAATTTTTAATTGTATAGCTGAATAAGATGCCACAAAATTGAGAAAAAAACTTCACAAAACCAAGATATTGAAGTGTGGTATCCTCATTCCCTAACAATATATCTAGTAACTTGGCAAATTCACTAATCAGCCATTACGAGATATTTGATGATGCCAGAATATCAAGTTCCTATCTGCATCTCGTATTTTGCTTCCAAACCTATTCATTTGCTTCTCTTTTCTTTTTGGTCTTAACATATTGTTTCTGCAAACGATGTAATGTTATTGCCAATGTTGATTTTAATGTTCTACTTGTACCCATGATATTTTGCTTATAAGCATGATATTATGGAATGTGTTAAATAATTTAGCCAACTCCAAAAGGAGCTGAATATGCAAGCGAATAATTCGTAAAAGTGGGTATTCTTGACTTAACATGAAGATATATATGTTAGAATTCTGATCTTATTTGATTAAGTAAATTTCCACTTGCTCATAGTGTTCTTTTTGGCTGGGCAAGTAATCTTCTGCTCAGAGCTGACAAAAAATGGGAAAATCTAACCTTCTAATTAAAACAATGCTGTTAATTAGTACTGCTAATAAGTTTGCTGTTTATTTTTAATGGATATACAAAGAAACGCTTTTTAAATACATTTTATGGACAATCGCTGGGATCAACGCAGATTCCCCATTGATTTCTAACCAATCCGGTATCACATCTGCAACCTTTAACAGGATTAATAGTTATAATAGGACAAGTCATCGTGTATGTTTGGCAAGTTTTGTCACAAGCACTTCCTCCAGTAGTGTAATGTTCACCTCCACCTCCACAAACACATTCTGCTTCAGGATCTATATCAAAAAGTTGAATTAGTATTATAACCATAAATTTTGATATCATCAAAAACTTACGAGAAAGTGCAGTTTGAAGGATAACTGCTAAGGCAAAAATTGCAAGAAAATATTTCATGATTACTCAGTTTCGTCAAACGGTTTAACATCAACTGTTTGAAAAAAAGCATCGAGTAGACGCATTTATTTATAATTAAATTTAAATCTAATAGATTAGATTAGATTAGTAATTATTTTTACTTTTTATTTTGTGTTGTACAAAGAGAAAAGTAAAAAGACGTGATAAGCATGTATTTGATTATATAGCACGTTTTAACGTTTTTAGCCATATGTCATGTCACCACAATCGATTCTTTACATCAATTAGTAAAGAATTATGACTGGATGGTGATAAGTGATTCCAGTAAATCATTTCAAAGTTGCGCATATGTAGGCGGATTTTAATAACGTAAATGAATAAAATTCTTTTCCTACTTTTACATAGCTAATGGAGGAAGCGCACGAAGATATATCTTGGGCCATACCTTAAAAATCCAAAAATATATAGTCCCTTTGGAATTAAAGTATATGTAACAATATCCGGTATGCGGATCACATCATGATATTAGCGAATAGTGTACAGGGTGTCCCGTTAAGCGTACGGAGCGGCTGTATCTCAACAACGGTAAGGCCTAGAGGTTTGGGAAAAAAATCCTTATAAGCAAAGTGGGCAAGAGAAATAGCTGGAAATTATTTTGAAGTTCGTAATTCGATCGCTAAGGGGCGTAACTACCATAGAGAAACATAAAATTCCCGCTATCTCAGGAAGTTAGACGATGAGCTATAACGTTGACAACATCATTTAGTAGCTTGGATAATACCGCATCGCTTTTGTTTTGCGATATTTCTCATATCTGTCATAATAAGGGAGGGGGAGGCCAATGCGTTTTCATATGTGTACATTTTAATATCTCCTAGACCATTTAACCGATTTGAATATTTTTGGTCTTGTTTGAAAGAGCATTTTATGCTCTTTTTAAAGATATTTTCAGTAAGACCGTCTGCTTGAAAACAAATGAGCTAGAGGACGTTAGTTGCAGCGATTACATATTTTTGTGATTTTTTAAGAAAAGTTAAATGGAACGATACTATTTACTTCACAGACCCTTAGTCACCTTAAAATTTGCTAAATTTTAGTGAAAACCGCATCTCGATATCGCCACCCGTTCTCGAGTTATAGAAGAAAATGTTAAAAACTCGAGTGCCATCAATCGGATCCAGTTACCTTATCGAGAAAAACAAATCACATAACCATGGTAACTGTAAACATGTCATTTACCAACGCAGAAGCGTATGATTGATAGAGCGTATGATGATTTATTTTCAATGTTTCGAATACGATGCAACTGCATGGCAAAAATGTGCAATGCAATTACGACAAAGAAAGACATTTTTCTCTAGAAGTGTTTTTAAGATTGACTTAGCGATTACGGAAAACTGGCAACGTGTAGCCCATTCAGACATCGCTATGAATTCGTAAATCACATTGATGCGCAATGTGATCGTATTCTTCCGGGTGCATACTTTATAAAAGTTTGAAGCCGTGAGTCGCTTTCTTCTTTCTTCCAACCAGTACCCACTATCCGATTGAAATATAGTGTCGCGTTGAAGCTGCTGCTTTTCCGCCTCTGTTATATTTAAAGTTTCTAAAAATCTTTCTTTTTCCTGCTCATATAACTCTTCGTCTAAATCTGCCTTTAAACACGAATCTCCATACTGCTGCATGACATCTAGCTTGATATGATCTTCTTTGAGAAAAATTTATTCGTTTACCGCCCACAAATTTTGCTATTATTGAATTAAACTGTTCGACTATGTTACTGTTTTGTTTCTTTAAAAGACTCCTACTTTGATTTGAAATTGATGAGATGATTTGTTGCAATCTATAATACATTTCTGGACAGGAAGTTCTCATTTCCACAACGTAGTTTGTTTCTTCTTTTGGAGTGCAATAGTACTTTTCACAGTTGTCGTGGTGGCCTAAAATATGATAGAAAGAGTTGTCGATGTCCTTTTTTAAAAGATGTACAGCATTTTCCTTATTTTCATCTCGTCTGTGGTTTATTGCTCCATTTACCGCAGAACGAAAACGTAAAATATTTTTGGCAATTATTTTACGGAACTTTAACATAAATCTGGTTTCTTTAGTTATTGCTGTTAATTTATTGCAATAGTTTCGTAATAGATGATTGCAGCATTCTATTTTTTCTACAGTTAAATTTTTATACGGTCTTGAGTCCAATATTCGTTTATAGGTGCTGCTATCTCCATCAGCAATCACTGTCGCATACCGCAAGCCGTATACTTCTTCACTAACTTTAAAGCCTTGTACCAAACCTTCTGATTCCATTCCTGTGGAACTTCCTTTATAATTTTTAAAACAAACGTGGTCTTTGTCTGGTTGTTGAGCGCAAAGACAACGAAATTTATTTTTGACAGCAAGGTACAAAACTTTTCCTGATTGAGCACCTACGATAGCTGCAGCACCTGACAACGCGTTATAATTTTGTTTGTAAGATCTTTTGCTCCAACAAGCGTCGGCCACAACAGTTATTAATGGAACACCGTCATGATCCACTTTACCATTTTGTATGGCATATGTGGCTTCTTCAACTGCAGCCTCTTTCATAACTTGTACTGCAACACTCTCCCACCCAAGCATCAGCTACTCGATTTTGACATTTTTGGTACAACTTAGATGACATGAACGGTATATTTAAAACGGAAAATACTTCCTCCATATTGAAGAAACCACTTCCAATACTCATTGTACCTTGGACAACATCTTCGTTTACAATATCTTNTCGAATTACGAACTTCAAAATAATTTCCAGCTATTTCTCTTGGTCACTTTGCTTATAAGGATTTTTTTCCCAAACCTCTAGGCCTTAACGTTCTAGAGATACAGCCGCTCCGTACGCTTAACGGGACACCCTGTACATAATCTGCAAAACCTACTAAATCGGGTTAACGAAGAAAGCCAAAGACGAGATGATGGTTAGTAGGAACGATACTCCACACACTCGAATGCATGTTGATGAAAATATCATCGGACAGGTCAAACAATTTAGATACTTGGGATGCATGAAGGATGGAACCCGGATCAAAAGATAAGATGCAGGATTGAACAAGCTTATCGTGGCTAAAAAATATCCGCCGGTGGATAGAGATACAGAACTTCCAAACATTACAGACTATTGCACACAATAAAACCATCTAATAGGAAAAGCAACGCCTACGCAGAAATTTACATGTCACTTTAAGAAGAAGAATTGTTTACATTTTGGCGCTTTTTGAAAATAAAGTTAAAACAATATTCCTTTCTCCAAAAAAGGGTTGTAATAAAGAACTAAAACATTTGTTTTGAGTTGTACCAAATTTGAGGTTTTCAACTTAATTGGTTATCTTGTAAAATGTGTTTGAGGGATAGGGCTTACTCTAAATATAAGCACTCTAAGAATATTAATGATCTGTATAGTTACAAAGATTTGAGGCGGTACGTGGAAGGAGCGATAAGAAGAGAGAAAGAGGCATACTTTGGTTCGGTGGTGGCTCAGCGTAGTTCTGCTAAGCTATGGCGGGTCCTTCGTGATTGGGGTGTCGCCAGACAGAGGCGCCAACCATTGCCCGGGAGTTTAGGTAATGCAGATGAGATAAATGATTATTTCGCTAGATCTTCTGAATTGGGAGGGGTTGTTGATCAGGATGTTGTTGACTTCTATAATAATTCTAAATTAAATCCTACTAATAATTTCCT